AACATGTTATTGCAATCTTGAAGATTCAAGCAAACTGTTTTTACCAAAAATGTTTCAAAATATGCGAATTATATAAACTATTTGGGTACTTTTTAATATAGTTACTGAACATATCATCAAAATGTTCCCATTGTAAAAATTCAAGCCTAATTGAACCACATTTTTTTATTGATTGCTGCTACTTCCTACTTTTTTGAGTTAAATATTATTTTTTAAATTTTATTTAATGTGTATAAATTTCATGTATTTTATATATAAAGATTCAGGAACATAGTGATACTTCCTGAACTACCCTCTCTCACACCCACACTACAACACTTCTTCCTCCTCCCTCTCCTATTTTCACTGTTAATTTTTTCAAAGATCTATTTTCAGTTCACTTTATGCTCACAAGATTAACTGTACACTAAGAGTTGAAAACATAGTATGAAGAAGAAAACACTGTTCCTCAACAATTGAGACAAGGGCTGTAACAATCATTGAATATCAAAATGTCAATTTCACTCCTATATATTACCCCTTTAGGTATTCTATTAGTTACCACAGCTCAGGGAAAACATAGTATTTGTCTTTATGGGACTGGCTGATTTCACTAATTATAATGGTTTCCAAGGTTTCCAGTTGTATCCATTCTGTTGCAAAAGACAGGATTTCTTTTTTTCTTTTTCTTTTTCTTTTTATTTTCTTTTTCTTTTTTTTTACCACTGAGTAGTATTCCGTAGTATGTATGTAATTTCTTTATCCAGTCTTGAGTTGATGGACATCCCCGGTTGATTCCATTTCTTAGCTATTGTGAATTGAACTGCAATAAAAATGGTATACAGATAGCTTTTTCATATGCTGATTTCATTTCTCTTGGGTAAATTCCTTGGAGTGGGATTGCTGGATCATATGGTGTATCTATTTTCAGCTTTCTGAGATAGCTCCATACTGTTTTCCACAATGGCTGTACTAGTTTACATTCCCACCAACAGTGGGTTGGGGTACCTTTTACCCAACATCCTTGCCAGCATTTGTTGTTTCTTGATTTCTATATGAGGGCTATTCTAACTGGGGTGAGGTGAAACCTTATTGAGGTTTTGATTTGAATTTTCCTGAGAACTAGTAATCCTGAGAATTTTTTCATGTGTCCATTGGCCATTTGAATTTCCTCTTTTGAAAAATGCCTGTTCAAGTCCTTTGTATATCCCTTAACTGGATTGTTTGTTTTGTTATTGTTAAGTTTCTTGAGCTCTTTGTAGATTCTGGATATTAATCCTTTATCAGATTCATAGTTTGCAAATATTTTCTCCCATTCTGTCAGTTGCCTCTTCACTTCGCTGAGTGTATCTTTTTTTTTTTTGACAGTCAGAGTGGACAGTGAGAGAGAGAGAGACAAAGGTCTTCCTTTTGCTGTTGGTTCACCCTCCAATGGCCGCCGCGGCCGGCGCACTGCGCTGATCTGATGGCAGGAGCCAGGTGCTTCTCCTGGTCTCCCATGGGGTGCAGGACCCAAGGACTTGGGTCACCCTCCACTGCACTCCCTGGCCACAGCAGAGAGCTGGTCTGGAAGAGGGGCAACCGGGACAGAATCCAGTGCCCCAATCGGGACTAGAACATGCTGTGCCAGCGCCGCACGGTGGAGGATTAGCCCAGTGAGCCGGGGCGCCGGCCTTGAGTGTATCTTTTGCAGTAGAATCTTATCCTGATGGAATCCCGTTTGACAATTTGGCTTTGATTGCCTGTATTTTTCTGCTATTTTCCAAGAAATCTTTGCCTATTCCAATATCTTGCAGAGTTTCCCCAATGTTCTCCACTAATTTTATGGAACCAGGTTGTAGATTTAGGTCCTTAATCCATTATGAAAGGATTTTTGTGTAAATCCAGGTGTAAGGTAAGGGTCGTGATTCATACTTCGGCATGTGGAGATCCAGTTTTCCCAACACCATTTGTTGAAGAGACTGGCTTTGCTCTAGTGATTGATTTTGGCTTTTTTTTTTCAAAGAAAAATTGTAGTTGTGTGGGTTGATTTCTGGAATTTGTATTTTGTTCCATTGGTCTCCATGTCTATTTTTGTGCCAGTACAAGGCTGTTTTGATTATAATTGCCCTGTATTATATCTTGAAATCAGGTATTGTGATGCCTCTGGCTTTGTTCTTTTTATTTAAGATTGCTTTAGCTATGCAAGTCATTTGTGTTTCCATATGAATTTTTTTTTTGACAGGCAGAGTGGACAGTGAGAGAGAGAGACAGAGAGAAAGGTCTTCCTTTGCTGTTGGTTCACCCTCCAATGGCTGCCGCGGCCGGCACGCTACAGCCAGCGCACCATGCTGATCCGAAGGCAGGAGCCAGGTGCCTCTCCTGGTCTCCCATGGGGTGCAGGGCCCAAGCACTTGGGCCATCCTCCACTGCACTCCCTGGCCACAGCAGAGAGCTGGACTGGAAGAGGGGCAACCGGGACAGAATCCGGCGCCCTGACAGGGACTAGAACCCAGTGTGCTGGTGCCGCAAGGTGGAGGATTAGCCTAGTGAGCCGCGGCGCCGGCCTCCATATGAATTTTAATGTCATTTTTTCTAGATCTGAGAAGAATGTCATTGATATTTTGATTGAGATTGAATGGAAAACATAAATTGCTTTGGATAGTATGGACATTTTGATTATACTAATTCTGCCAATCTATGAACATGCAAGATATTTCCATTTTTTGTGTCTTATTCTATTTATTTATTTAATATTTTATAATTTTCATCATAGAGATTGTTCACCTCCTTGGTTAAATTTATTCCAAGGTATTTAATTTTTTGTAGTTATTGTGAATGGAATTGATTTAAGAATTTATTTATCAGCTGTGGGATTTTCTGTGTATACAAAGGTTATTTATTTTTTTGTGTTAATTTTATGTCCTGAAGCCAGCACTGTAGCTTAGCCGATAAAGCCACCTTCTGCAGTGCCGGCATCCCATATGGGTGCTGGTTTGAGACCTGGTTGCTCTACTTCCAATCCAGCTCATATTATGGCCTGAGAAAGCACTAGAAGATACCCCAAGTCCTTGGGCCCCTGTACCTGCGTGGGATACCTGGAATAAACTCCTGGCTCCTGACTTCAGATCAGCACATCTCCAGCCATTGCAGCCATCTGGGCTGGTTGATGGTAGATCAATCTCTCTCTCTCTCTCACTCTCTCTCTCTTTCTCTGTCTCTCTCTCTCTCTCTGCCTCTGCTTCTCCGTAACTTTGCCTTTCAAATAAATCTTTTTAAAAATGTAAAAGTTTATATCCTGCCACTTTACAAAACTCTTTAAGGAGTTTCAGTAGTCTCTTAGTGGATTATGTTAGTTACTCTATATATAGAATCATGTTATCAGCAAATAAGTATAGTTTGACTTCCTGCTTCCCAATTTTATCTCTTTGATTTTTTTCTTGTCTAATGGCTCTAGCTAAAATTTCCAAGACTATGTCGAATAGCAATTGTGAAAGTGGGTATCCTTTTCTTGTTCCTGATCTTAGTGGAAATGCTTCCAACTTTTCCCCATTCAATAGGATGCTGCTGTGGGTTTGTCATAAATTGTCTTGATGATGTTAAGGAATATTCCTTCTATACCAAATTTGCTTAAGCTTTTCATCATGAAAGGATATTGTATTTTATCAAATTCTTTCTCTGCATCTATTGAATCGATCTTATGTTTTTCCCTCAGTTTGCTAATGTGATAAATCATATTTATTGATTTGCTAATGTTGAACCATCCCTGCATAATGGAAAGCAAAAAGGAGCAGGTGTAGCCATCCTAATATCAGACAAAACAGATGTTAACACAAAAACTGTTAAGAAAAAGAAAGAAGGCCACTCTGTAATGATTAAGGGATCAATTGAACAAGAAAAAGTAACTATAATAAATGTATGTGCACCAAGTGCCAGGGTTCCTGGCTATTTAAAATAAATAAATAAATAAATAATAAAATGAATGTTAATGGATCTAAAGCAAGACATAGACTCCAATACAGTTGTAATGGGGGACTTCAACACCCCACTTTAATTAATGGAAAGATCAGCTAGACAGAAAATCAACAAAGAAACAACAGAGCTAATCTACGCTATAGATCAAATAGAACTAACCTAAATCTACAAAACTTTTCATCCTACAGTTGCAGAATACACATTCTTTTCATCAGTGCATGGAACTTTTTCTAGAATAGAATAATAATTTTAGATGTCCCAGATCTTAATAAACACCATAATCTCCACCTCTCCTGTTTAGCCCCACTTTCACTGTATTTAACTTGGAAAGACTATCAGATCTCACCTTTATCTCTGAAATAAACAGCAACTTCTAATAAGATTGTTTTAATTGTATTCTTTTATAAAATAATGTTTCTAATATTAATATTTACATGATGCAGCCTTTTTATGACAATTTCTAGCTTCAGATTCCAAGTTTGAATCATCTTTTTCCATGTTAGAGAAAAAAATTAAATGTCCAAAACTCTAAATCTTATTTGTGTATGATACCATAAATTTTAAACAAAATTAATTCAACAACACCATTTTCTAAATAGAATTAATTGCATTTTCTTTTTTAAAAAATATTTATTTTATTTATTTGAAATGCACACTTACAGAGAGAGGTACAGACAGAAAGAGAACATGGTCTTTCATCTGCTGGCTCACTCCCCAAATGGCTACAACAGGCGGAGCTGAGCTGATCCAAAGACAGAAGCTAGAAACTTCTTCCAGGTCTCCCAAGTGGGTGCAGAGACCCAAGAACTTGGGCCATCCTCTACTGCTTTCCCAGGCACATTAGCAGGGAGCTGGATCAGCAGTAGAGCAGCCGGGGACTCAATCCAGCACCCATATGGGATGCCCACGCTGCAGGCCTGGGCTTTAACCAACAGCTCAGGCCACATTGACTGGATTTTCTATAATATATACTCTGTGCTGGCATTATTTGAGTGGTAGACATATGGTTATTTTAGGTATATACTCACCTTATCAAGATTACTTACTTTTTCCTCTATTATCCATAGACATTCTCTTCTTGAAGTGTTACCTTCCCTACAAATCCTCAATGGTGATATGCTAAGCTGTTATACAGAAAGTCACCCTGAAGACAACTGTCAGCTAAATTTAGGATGTTTCCTAGAACTTTGTCAGACCCAGATTCAACAATTCAACCTACTAGTTGAAAACCATATCACAGGAAAAGGGTAAGATTGTTATCATCCACTTTCTGTACTTAAGAAGAATAATGCAATTTATACACATGTATAAAAATTATTCTGATCAACTTTTTTTAAGATAAAAACACTACATGTAAAATTTATTTTACATTAAAAAATCTGTGGCATCATGTTTTTATATTTTGAAATAAGCTAGTAGGTATTTTAAACAAAATTTAAAATATTTAAATCCTAAAATATTAGATGAAATAAAAGAAAGCATAAGGATAGCTTCAAAGCAGGAGGTAAATATTCATTTCATTAAAATAAATTTATTCAAAAGCTTTCATAGACAAGACATTATCATCAGTAAAGCAGCTTAATATAAAAAATTAGACAATATAGTTATGATTGAGTAAGCAAGTTTTTTTTTTTTTATTTGACAGATAGAAAGTGAGAGAGACAGAGAGAAAAGTCTTCCTTCCATTGGTTCACCCCCTGAATGGCTGCTACGGCCAGAGCTATGCTGATTCGAAGCCAGGAGCAGGGAGCTTCCTCCTGGTCTCCCACGTGGGTGCAGGACCCAGGCACTTGGGCCATCCTCCACTGCCCTCCTGGGCCACAGCAGAAAGCTGGATTGGAAGAGGAGAAGCTGAGACTAGAACTGGTGCCCATATGGGATGCTAGTGCCGCAGGTGGAGGATTAGCTAAGTGAGCCACAGCGCCGGATCCGAGTAAGCAAGTTTTAAACAATACATTGTGTCTTTAAAAATAGTTTATATTGTTCAAGATTATATGTGCTTTTAAAAATACTAAGATTATTTATATTTTTCTTTGGGCAAATCTACTGATATTTCTTTGTATATTTGTGGCAATGTATAATTTTGTATTTTAGGGTTACCCTTGATATCCATCACATTGAACTTTAACTGTCAAAATTTAGATTTTCATCTGAGATATAAGTCCTTTGGACTGTTTATTATTGTCACAAATTAAGTTTTGTTTAGTGTTGAAAATGGAAAAGACATTATATTTTTTATATTTAAGGAATAAGTAGTGGCAACACCTAATCATAAGAATGCCAATATTTGAAATGAGCCTTTTTCTGTGTTATTAGCCAACAAAATTAGTGAAATATAAAAATCAAAAATATATTATGGCCGCCGCTGTGGCACAGCGGGTTAATGATGCAGCCAACTGGGGAGTGAACCAGCGGAAGGAAGACCTCTCTCTTTCTTTCTACCTCTCCTCTCTCTGTGTAACTCTGACTTTCAAATAAATAAATAAATTTTATATATATGTATATATATATTAGAACAATCTATACTAATATCTGATAATTACCTTTTGGAACACAATAACTAATTATTTCTACATTTTAGGAAATAATTATGACTTTCACTTTTTTAATTTTTGTTTAATAAATATAAATTTCCAAAGTCAGCTTTTGGATTACAGTGGCCTTTCCTCCCCCCATAACTTCCCTCCCACCCACAACCCTCCCATCTCCTGCTCCCTCTCCCATTCCATTCACATCAAAATTCATTTTCAATTCTCTTTATATACAGAAGATCAATTTGGTATATATTAAGTAAAGACTTCAACAGTTTACACCCACACTGAAACACAAAGTGTAAAGTACTGTGTGAGTACTATTTATAGCATTAATTCACATTGTGCAACATATTAAGGACAGAGATCCTACATGGGGAGTAGGTGCACAGTGACTCCTGTTGTTGACTTAACAAATTGACACTCTTGTTTATGGTGTCAGTAATCACCCTAGGCTCTTGTCATGAGTTGCCAAGGCCATAGAAGCCCTTTTTTTTCTTTTTATTTTCTTGACAGGCAGAGTGGACAGTGAGAGAGAGAGACAGAGAGAGAAAGGTCTTCCTTTTGCCGTTGGTTCACCCTCCAATGGCCGCCGCTGCAGCCGGCGCACCGCGCTGATCCTGGCAGGAGCCAGGAGCCAGGTGCTTTTCCTGGTCTCCCATGGGGTGCAGGGCCCAAGCACCTGGGCCATCCTCCACTGCACTCCCTGGCCATAGCAGAGAGCTGGCCTGGAAGAGGGGCAACCGGGACAGAATCCGGCGCCCCAACCGGGACTAGAACCCGGTGTGCCGGCGCCGCAAGGTGGAGGATTAGCCTATTGAGCCACGGCGCCGGCTCCCATGGAAGCCTTTTGAGTTTGCCAACTCAGATCTTATTTAGACAAGGTCATAGTCAAAGTAGAAGTCAAAGTGGCCCCTTCTTTCCACTGGGATCTCACTCGCAGAGATCTTTCATTTAGGTTTGCTTTTTTTTTTCTTTTCCGAGAGTGTCTTGGCTTTCCATGCCTAAAATACTCTCATGGGCTTTTCAGCCAGATCCAGATGCCTTAAGGGCTGATTTTCACTTTTTCTTACTGTGGTTAAATTTTTAACATTTTTTATGTGTTCCATTGTTTCAGAAAAATATTAAGACAATTTGTAGCTGCATATTATATATATATAATACAAATTAAAGATAAGTAAAGAAAGAAATAATAAAACAGAAATAAAGGAAGATATACACAATGTGGCTAAGAAGGAGGCCTTTACAAGGACAGAGTCCTTTGCATTTGTTATTGGGAGCTTCAAATCTGTAAAAAATTAGAATTTGATTAATTACATAAATATGACATCTAAAAGAGCTAGAAATCCAACAGTTGCTCAAGAAAATCTCAGCCATTTATACCTTAAAGTATTTGAATTCTCATTGCAGTGCATTATTTTTTCAGAGAAAAGTGAAATAACTTTCCCATAATATATGTTCTTTCTTTAAAAGTCCAATACAAATATTTTGTGTGGCAAAAGTCAATGTAAAAATGTCTTTTTAACTTCATTTCATAAATAACTTTTCCAAATTTAGGCAGTCATGATTTCTCATGTTTATGGTAATAAAAGCATGACTTTTTCTCATTCATTTGTACCAAAAATACCTAGAATAAAAATGCTCCTAAAACTTCCAGACATTTTGTCTAGACTGACAGATCTAAATTAACTAAACAAATATTGTCAAATTTTGTTTAAAAGAATATCAATTTTTATATAAATAAGTAGAACTAATTTATAATGAATGTTATACTAAAGTTCAATATTCATTTTAGGCCATACAGCATAAAAAGTTAATTCTATAAAAGATGTAAAACTGTAATATACACTGATGTAATTTATATCATTGAATGTCCTTACTACTTACTTTTTCAGAGATGTACTTACCTTGGATATGGCAGAAAATCTCTATAATTATTTTAAGAAATTGATGACACTTAGTAATGAATACCGATACGCACATGAACATGGAGATGTAAATATCACCGAGAGAGATGAATCCACAATGCTGCACAATTGTGTGGCTCCTGCATGCATTGACAGCCTATTGCAAAATAAAGACCTCTGCTCTTCCGCAAACAAACAGAAACAGGAGTCACTTAATATTCCTGAGAAATTGATGAACTCTGGCTCTACTCACTTCCTATTAAACAACAACTCTGTACGTGAAGATATGGAAGGAGGAAATCAAGAAAAATTAATAGGACAGAAGAGAGAAGACAGCGAAGCAAGCAATATCCCCCCCAAAAGAGCCCCATTCATAGAAACAGTGATGACAAACTCTCTGAGGAAGCACCGAAATCCAGTACACAGTGAGAAAACGTGAGCTGTGTAAATCATTTTCCTATTACAGATGTGATGTTTATTATTCTTGATGGATAATCTTAGTACCTGGCACCAAATAATAACCTGAAAGAGGATTTGAATCACTATTATATTTCTTATTAACTACCTTAATTTTGTTTTCATGATGTGCACAAAGCTTTAATTATAGATTCATTGGGTTAAATTTTTGCAGGTTCTGATTAAATTTCTATCATTATTTAATTTGGAATGTATAGATGTGAAATTATTTTTCTGCTTCCTAATTTCCAAACCATTAAAGGAATTAAGAATTGTTGAAGAGCAATAAAATTTTACATTCTAAAAATAAGAAAAAGTAATTCTGAATAATCACATAATTTCATTTACTTAAACATACAATTTGCCTGTGCTATTTATGTGATTATTGAAATGTAAACACTTAATAAGTATATACAAAAGTACTTGAATATATGACTATAAATTTTTTTTGGCATGACAGCTTTATAAAGTAGGGCAATTTTCTCTGTGATTTATCACATAAACCCCATTGCAACTGTTAACACTTTTAGAAAGCTAATTGTTGGCTTTAATTGTTTATTGAACCAGAAAACATTGGTATTTACTTTGGCCATCACCTTCTTCTTGTGCTTTTTACTTTTTGACCTCTGTCAAGTGAACAAAAGAGAAAGTGGGCAGATTTAGCTTCTTCTCTAATGACAGTGCTGAATAGGGCAAAAGCCAGAATATCACAGAGCTAATCTTGCTTTTCCCAGTTTTCCTTCTTTCAGGAATTGTCAGTTAACAGTGATTTTTTGGGTGGAGCTATATTTTTTTTAATTTTATTTTATTTTATTATTATTTTTTTTTTTCACAGGCAGAGTGGACAGTGAGAGAGAGAGACAGAGAGAAAGGTCTTCCTTTTGCCGTTGGTTCACCCTCCAATGGCCGCCGCGGTCGGCGCGCTGCGGCCGGCGCACCACGCTGATCCAATGGCAGGAGCCAGGAGCCAGGTGCTTTTCCTGGTCTCCCATGCGGGTGCAGGGCCCAAGCACCTGGGCCATCCTCCACTGCACTCCCTGGCCACAGAAGAGGGCTGGCCTGGAAGAGGGGCAACCGGGACAGAATCCGGCACCCCGACCGGGATTAGAACCCGGTGTGCCGGTGCCGCTAGGCGGAGGATTAGCCTAGTGAGCCGCGGCGCCGGCCAAGGGGGGAGCTATATTAAGTAGTTTGATCTTTATTTCCTAATACTAATTTCTTAACTTTTATCAAAAATGGCCTTCATATTTCCTGTTTTATATTTTAACCATTTATTTAACTTATTGCCTTTTTACCAAATGCTCTGGATGTTGTCTATTGAAATTTTATATAAGCAATATATAGAACTTTTAATCAATGATCAATAAAATAACCAAATGATGATATTAAGTAAGAATGAAGAACTAAAAATATAGATAAACCAAAGACTGAAAGAATAAAGGGAAAAGATGATGCATATATACTTGCTGAGCTTTGTGATTCAGGAAGATTCCTTGTCAGTTGTCAGTTTCCTAAGCACGATTTGCAAAGGCTCTTGTGCTAAAGATGTTTTTCCCATTATAATTTTTTGCTAAAGAAAAGATAAAAGTGATGATGATAGAGCTATTTCCTTTTTCAAAACAGAGAGCATCCCACATTCAGGAAAGCCCAAAATCAACTTCTTTACCCACTCTCAGGGAAGTAAAAGCAGGCCACGTGTTAGTGTCGGTGAAGAAAATAGCCCTCATCTACTTTTTTGTTTTTGTTTTCCTTGGGAAATTTTGATCATATCACACTAAGGAATTCATGTAATGAATGACAGTAAAAGAGATTCACAATAGTAATTAGTGAAAATTATATTTTTCTAAAGAAAAACATAAACACTGTCTAGAGTTAAATGTGTTTTATTAGAAACTTTCATTCTTTAGATGTTACAAATATATTTTCTAATTCTTTCTGTTGTCACACAAAGTACCTCTTACAGTGCTTAGAAATCTTCTGATGAATTTTTGTTCAAATGACAAAGTGGTGAAGGGATGACTGCGTGACCAAATTAAATTAAATCCATAGCAAAAATTTACAAAGTTCTGGATAGCAAAGGAGGAGGAAATGATTTCTTGGAATGTGAATATTTTCCCAAGTACTAGGAGTACAAGTAGTTTATCTTACACCAGATATTTTAGCAATTAAATTAAATTTTCTATTCATAACCAAATATATTGAAGACATACTGGTTTTAGATAAAATTGTGATGATAATGGTAATATTGATAATAAACCATTGGAGTACCTGGTTGGAGTCCTGGCTACCCCACACCTCTGATCTAGCTTCCTGCTAGTGAACATCCTGGGAGGTAGCAGATGATGGCTCAAGAATTTGGGTTCCTGCCACCTACACTGGAGACTCAGATGGAGTTCCTTGCTCCTGGCTTTTGCCCACACCTGGCCCACTCCTGCTTATACTGGGCATTTGGGGTGTGAACTGTCTCACTGTCTCTCCCTCTCCCTTCCTCTGCCTTTCAAATAACTAAATTAAGAAACATTTTTAAAAAGAAACAAATGAAACTCCATTTCACCCATATCAGTCCCTCTGTTTCTTTCCTTTCTTTCTTTTAGATTTGAAAATTTCCATTATATTTTTACTTCTAAGAATTTAGTTAAACACAAGAAGAGTCTTATTTGTAAATAACAATTTTTTTGGACCTTGTTTGAAAGACAGCTGTCTGCGCCTGTGAATTTACACACACTAACAATGTAACAATGTTTTTTTTTTTCTCCTCCAAATAGTATGGCAGCTGTATTAATCCAGGCACACTGGCGTGGATACATCATGCGCAAAAAGATTAAATTCTCCACATGGTTTCATACTGCTACAACAGGACTGCTACCTAATTGTTGCATCAAGAATCAGACTGTTTTAAAGAAAGAAAAAAGAAAAAATATTGTGAATACTGAAGAACAGAGAAGGAAGGCTGCTATTCTCATTCAGGTTAATTTTAATCATTTAATAACATACTCATCAAAGATGAAATAGTCACCTTGCACTGTGTGTGTATGTGTGTGTGTGTGTGTATAAAAAGTAATGCCCAAATCGCAGTTATTTACAATACACAGATTTTTTTTAAGATTTATTTATTTGTTATGTGAAAGGCAGAGTTAGAGAGGACAGAGTCAGGAAGTAGGAAAGAAATGGGAAGAGAGAGAGGCAGGGAGATCTTCCATCTGCTGGTTCACTCCCCAAAGAGCTACAATGGCCAGGGCTGGGCTGGACTGAAGCCAGGTGTCTGGGACTCCATCTGAGTCACCAGTATGAGTGGCAGAAACCCAAGTACTTGAGTAATCTTCGACTGGTTTCATAGGCACATAAACAAGGGGCTTTTTCAGAAGTGATAGTTTTCAAGATAATTATTTCTTCTCTGGCTCCAATAAATATATCCAATATTTCAATTTGTACTGTACTCCAGAGAGTAGTGTATACACAGAGCTGTTATAGCTCCTTGGAAGGGGTGAGAATGAGGGCAGGGCAATTGATTCAAGGAAACTCTGAGAAAAGCAAAGAAATTTCAGTTACTATCGTTAAATGTTATTCTGTCATATAAGGAATGTTGATGTCATGCAGTCCAGACTGTCTCCTGTCATTACTGGATGATCAATGCATTCTTCAGTACTACTAATAAATGCTTATTCATTTATTTTGGTCCTCTCAATAAAAGGACGTCAGTTAGTTTATAAAACAGTGTAGTTCAGTGGCTAAGTTCTCTACTGGATGTCCTTTATTTACTTGAATATATGGAATTTACTTGATATTGTATTGTATTTTTATCTGTCTGTGGAGAATCCTAATGTCTAATGACATTAACATAATTTCCATTTGTCTCCCCTCTCTTACTCCCTTTATCCTGTGTGCATGCATTTTGTGTATATGTGCGTGTGTATGGGAGTGGGTGGGTGGTTGATGACACAGACACACAGGCTACACAAAAGAGAAAAATTGAGAACAGGCTATCAGAGCCTGTTATCACAAGGAACTTAGCCTTCATCACTTGCTTTTGGCATAGACTCAAAGACATGGAAGAAAGTCAGAACACTTTATAGTGAAAAAAAAATAAAAACATTAAGGTATGCTTTTTTGGAGATTGCCCACATGATGAATCTTACATGAGTGGTTTGGGAAGTGTATTGGGCTTTATCTCTTGTTGGTCCTATGTTAGAAACAGGGGCAAGAGCCAGGAAGCTGAAAAGCACTGACCAAGTATTGACCATTCGTGGCTAATAACTGCAGAGGTCATAATACAACTTCCTGGTTCCTTGCTGCAGAGGTTATGATTTTACATCCTTGGCTGCTTGTTGCAGAGAGTGTATTTGATTTCTTTTGTCAGATATGGTCTGGCCATTTTGCATACTTTGTTTATCAGTACTATTAATACCAGTGATAGGATTACTGAAAGCAGGTTTTGAATTATCTTTTGCAGTAAAATGTATCCTTTAAGTGTATTTCATTAGTATATAGTCAAATAGATGTCTTAAAGTCTCTTTAAATAGCTTTAGTGGGTATGCCCATAGCATGAAATGTCTTTACATTTTTTTAAGATTTTAATTTCATATCTATTTAACTTTGTGTTGTAGTTATCTTAAACATGTGCATGGCTCCAAAGTCAAGTGTAAGCAAGATACATTCAAAGAAATCTGGCTGCTGTTGCTGTACTTCTACCCTATTTTCTGCCTTTTAACAATTAATTTCTACCATTAATTAATTTCATTAAATAATTTTCATACTTTAAATGTAAGAAAATATTTGTACATATATAATAATAATGATACGTGAGATTATTTTACTCATGGAATATTTGAATGAAAAGATAATGCAGGGGCAAGTGTTTGGCTCAGTGGTTAAGCCGTCACTTGGAATGTCTACATCCCATATCTGAATCCTGGAGTCGAGGCACAACTCTGCTCTCCATTGCAGCATCCTGCTAATGCACACAATTGGGAGGCAGCAGGTGATAGCTTAAGTACTTGGGTCCCTGCCACCCACATGGGAGACCCAGATTGTTTCAGGCTCCTGGCTTTTGCCTGACCCTGCTCTGGTTGTTGTGGGCATTTGTGAATGAACCAGTAGATATTTTTCTTTCTCTGTCTTTGTCTCTCTGTGTCTTGCTGTCTGCTTTTCGAATAAAAATACATATATACATAAGTATTTTGAAAAGATAGTACAAATTTTCCATGACTTCCTGGGGACTCTTTGTTTATGTTTGTACTCAGTTCTTTCATAGATAGATAAATAATGTGAAAACACGCTTATTTCTCCCTTAGCTTTTATATTTCATATATCTTGAAGTTAAATCCCTCACAGTAGCTACAGATACTCATTTTTTAAAAACCACATTGTACTTGTTTTAATTTGGAAGGCTTTGCCTATTCTAGGATTGTTAAGATCTGAACACTTTCAATGGTATTATTCCATTTTGAAGTGAAATTAGGTAATAGTTATGGACCGTGATACTACCTCTCTGACATGAAAATTAATGTGTTGGAGTTTTCCTAGATGTATTTTGGCTTACTTCATACGTGATCATTTGAAAATTAGCAAAACTGGTTTTCCTCTATATCTCTTTTCTTTTTGGTTTAGAATAAGTCCTAAAGGAATTGTCAGATAATTGATTGGTTGACCTACATGTGCAGTTGAGGGAGTTTTAAAGATTCTTTTCTGCTTACCACAAGGCAAGTCCCCTGAGATTCAGAACTTTAGACACATGCAGCCATTTAATTTATCTTGCAGTCTTAAGTGTCACATAAAGTTCAAAAAACAGATTATTGAGCCATTAAACTGAAGTCTAAGATGTTTTATCTTCCTAATGGGATAACACAGAGAATCTGGTTTGGGATTTGATCTATAACCTTGTATAACATACTTTAAATTTTTGTTTAGGCTGTTTGGAAGGGCTTTATTTTGCGAAAGAAACTGACAGCAGCTCTAGATGCTATTAGAAATGAAGACTCTGAAGAAGAATATGAAGAAATTGATTTAGAGGACTTTACTTTTGATGAAGTAAGTAATAACTAACTATAACACTTAAATATTATATTTAAATATTTTAATATACCATAGTAGAGCTGAACTGACTTAAAAGTGTTTGTCCTATTAGCACTATGCAATATATTTTTTAAATGACATTTGATTTCCACTAATAGGCTATTAATTTCCTAACATATTTTTCAGTAAGCCTATAAGCTTGCACAGTGTGTAAAGGTAGTCTTAGAATGTTTACAAGAGTACCTTTGTATGCTTTGAGAAAATTCTTTAGAGGTTAATATCCTAAGAGTATTTGACCACAATACCAAAGTCACCAAAATTAGGGAATTTACATTTATATAAGACTATGGTCTAATCGACATTATTCAGATCTGCAAATTGTCCTACTAATGTCCTGGTTTTAGGCTGAGATTCAGTCCAGTATGACCAATTGTATTTAGTTGCCATTTTTTCTTAGTCTCCAAGTTAAAAACCAATTTGTACTTGTTTCAATTTGGAATGCTTTTGTACTGATTACAAAACAGCATTGTACTTGTTACAATTTGGAAAGAATTCCTGAGCTTTTCATCATTTCCTTGACTTGACACTTTTCACGATTATAGTAATCTCCCCTTACCTATAGTCCAAAAATATTAAATAGGAAATCCCAGCAATGAAAACTATAAATTTTTTTAAATATTCATTTATTTATTTGTTTGAAAGAGTTACAGAAAGAGAAGAGATAGAGTGATCTTCCATCCACTGGTTCACTTTTCAAATGGCCGCAAAGACTGGGGCTGAACAGGTAAATGCCCGGAGTAAGGAAATTCCTCCAGTCTCCCATGTAGGTGCAGGGACCCTGGGCCGTCTTCCACTGCTCTCCCAGGCACATTAGCAGGGAGATGAATCAGAAGTGAAGCAGTCGGGTCTCAAACCAACACCTATATGGGATGCTGTTACCACAGGTGGCAGCTTTACCTGCTACACCACAGTGCTGGCACCAGTATAAGTTTTAACCATTTTAAATAGTGTGATAAAATCTTGGACTGTCCTGTTCTGGCCCACAAGAGGTGTGAATCATATCTTTGTCTAGCATAACCTTGCTGTATAAGCCATCATCCAGTTAGTCACTTGATAGCCATTTCATTTATCAGATTGAGTGTTGTGGTAACATGTTGGCTTTTGTTCAAGTAACACATATTACACTTAATAAGGGTCCCAAAATGAAATAATAGTAATGCGGGCAATTCATTACCGTAATACAAGGGTTCTTCAAGAAATTCATGGAAAAATTACATTAATACAACTTTCATTTTGGTACAAAAAATTTTGAAATCCATGCATAGTTTTTTTATAATATATATTTTCCCTCAACTGTTTAAGACTCACATATTTCATAATTATTCTATTTTATTATTAGTTATTTTGTTAATCTCATTGTGTCTAATTTATAGATTAAAGTTAACCATAGTTATGTAAATATAGGAAAAACATAGTATATATAGAGTTTGGTAACATCCACTTAGATGCCTTAGAATGTGTTTCCCATGGATAAGAGGGGACTCCTATACCAACAAATTATTTTGTAAAATGTGCATTTCTGTTTTCCATAGAGTTCCTTCTGATTAAATCAAGTTTTTTGAATGAGTAGAGTTTTAATTAAGATTACAGTTTTTAAAAAGATTTATCCATTTATTGGAAAGAAAGAGTTACAGAGAGGCAGAGGTAGACGGGTCTTCCGTCCACCGGTCTACTCCTCAAATGGCCGCAACAGCGGAGCTGGGCCAGTCCGAAGCTGGGAGCCAGGAGCTTCTGGGAGCCAGGTCTTCCACAAGGGTGCAGGGGCCCCTACACTTGGGCCGTCTTCCACTGCCTTCCCAGGCCACAGCAGAGAGCTGGATCAGAAGCAGAGCAGCTGGGTCGCGAACCAGTGCCCATATGGGATGCTGATACTGCAGGCGGTGGCCTTACTCGCTACGTCACAGTGCTGGCCCCAAGATTACAATTACATTAAGGTTTTGGTTCTTCATGTTTAAATCATCTTGGTAAGAAGAAAACTGAAGGGTCAGGTATTTGATCGTGAAGTTAAGATGGCTGCTTTCCATATGGGAATGCTTGCGTTCCTTACCCACCTCTGTTCTGACTCCAACTTCCTGCTGGTGCAAATGAGGAGGCTCAAGTGACTGGGTGCCAGCAACCCAGGTAGGAGACCTAGATTGAATTCCAGCTCCCTGCCAAGGCCCCTGATTGGAGACATGGCAGGCATTTGGGGAGTGAGCCAGTAAATGGAAACTTTCTATTTCTCTGCCTCTCAAGTTATTTAATTAATTTTTTTTAAAAAAAGGAAAATAATGTTACATGCTTCTCAGAGCATCAGGATAGGGCCCTTTTTAAAAAATTTATCCTAAACTGCATTTAATTTAGCTACCCAATTATAAATGTACTGCCTTAAACCCTTTTGTAAGAGGATAAGACATAAAATAATATATCAATTTATTAATTATATTAATGTTGATGTGACTGTAAAGGACATGATTTAAACAGACTATTAAAAATGCCATAATTATATAATTTGAAAATAATTGTTTTATGTTCAAAACACCCTGTGTCAGACTAACATGAAACACATATTCCCCCAGTTTTTGTGAAGTACCTGTACTTTTATTTTTACAAAGTTCTGCTTATCCTTCTTAGAAATCTGATCAGTCGATACACACTGACCATTGCATGTACTCTTGGTAGTCTTACATAATAATTGTGTTAGTAGAGGTCTGGGTGATTTTTTACAATATTTAGCATCGGCATTTAAGAGGGAAACAAGGATGTGATGGTGAGAGACAAGGCCTGTGGCGGGTCAGTGCCTTCTCACAGCAGTGACACTTCTAGGTTTGTAATAAAGTAAAGGATGAGTTGTTGCTGCTAATATTTTCATCACTCAGGAGGATGACTTGGGGAAACTTTTCAGTTTTGGAGACTGCCTAGTGCATACTTGGGAATATTGTTCCACCTTGAGAAGGATCGAAAACAGGGAAAATCTGTGCAGCTGGTTTATGCTGTGCTAACAAAAACTAGCATCAACTGTATATATTTTATTACTAAATGATTCAAAAATATATTTAATGTTACATTTATTTTAACTAAATCAGCTTTAAGGTTCTCTAGCTACATACCTTCTCATGATAACTGGTGTAATAACCTATTTCTAATAATTAATGTGTTTCAAGATTAAAATGGGAGTGGTACAACTCTGAGAGTTAAGCATAATCTTATGTTTTCATGTATGCATATGTGACATATCAATGAGAACCCTGGTGTTCAGCAGTATAGTATGTTTTAAAATTCAGTTAGGTAGGGACCAGCGCTGTGACGCAGCAGGATATGGGTGCCGGTTCTAGTTCTGACTGCTCCTCTTCCAATCCGGCTCTCTGCTATGGCCTGGGAAAACAGTAGAAGATGGCCCAAGTCCTTGGGCCCCTGCACCCACATGGGGGACCCGGAAAAAGCTCCTGGCTCCTGGCTTCAGATTGGCACAGCTCTGGTCATTGTGGCCAATTAGGGAGTGAACCATCAGATGGAAGACCTCTCCCTCTGCCTCTCCTCTCTGTGTGTAATTCTGACTTTGAGATAAATAAATAAGTCTTTTTAAAAAATTCAGTTAGGTAACTTAAGATCTATTTTCTAAATCTTTTCAGACATAATTGGGGGTCTCCAAATTTCATTGTAATACTGAATTATGAATTTATGAAAATTACATAAAAAAGACTATAGACATGAATCTATTGTAAGGACAAAGCACTGTTGTTTATATGAAGTGTTTTCCTAATTATAATCATACCTTAACAGAAAAGTTTAAAAATTCAACACTATTTTATTAGGATAAGATGGTGTTTTTAAAGCATGTTGCTGATCAGCAAGTTTCCAAAATGTTATGACTATTTATTTTACCTGATGCATGGATAAAATAATTATAAAATTTATAAATATTTCACAGCCTTTTTCTCTCCAACCTCAAAAATTCCAGGAATCAAACTGGTTATTGAAATTTCCTTACAATGTCAGTTAGGAAGAAAATTATTTTTCTGTTTAATAAAATAAGAACTAGCTATTAATACTAAATAATTTAACTACTTTTAAATACTAAATAATTTAAAAAATACTAAATAATTTAACTACTTTTAAATTACTTGCATTTTACATACAGATGCTTTTTAAATTTACTTCCCATCGTAAATTTCTTTCTGATGTTCATCACAATTAAATTTCATTTACCTGCTAAAGAGTTCAGTGAATTGAAACCTGCTTTCCTTACTGAACAGAATTTATTTCCAATAAACTTTAATATGGAAAACACTATTTCATAATGACATCTATTAATTAGTCTGCTTTCTAGTCCCTCTGGTATGATACTACTGATGAAAATAAAATATACAAAGATTTTTGGAATATACAAAATAGTAGGAAATCATCAAGGTTTCCTTCATAGTGGTCTTGTATTTTTTTAGATTTCTACATCGATAAGTGATGCTTTCTGATATTATACTCAATCGGTATATAGAAATACAATTTATTTTTGTTTATTGACCAATTTATATTTACCCACTTTGTAAATGAATAAATCACTTACTAATTTTAATAGTTGTCAAGTCTTTTAAATTCCATATACACGGTCATGTCAAGTGAGAACAATGATAATAGTTTTTTCTTTTCAACGGTGTTATTCTTTTGTTTTTTTGCTTACTATCCCAATTACTTCTGCCAGTACAATGTAGAATAGTGTTGACATTAGCAAACATCCTTTTCTACTTCCGGGTCTCAGGGTGAACACTTTCAATATGACATTAAGATGTTTGCTGTGGATTTCTTACAGAAACTTTTTATGGTTTATGGCAGTTACTTTCCTTAACATCTTAGAGGTTAAGATGATGGTGATGATGATGATAATAATGATGATGATGATGATTCCATATGTATTTTGGATTTTATCAGATTCTTTTTATGCCTGTATATTGATTGATTTTCAAATATTGCCTTATATT